TTGTTTATTTGGCAGCTGCCCGATAAAACTCTTTGTTGAATGAAGGAATGCACAAGTTAGTCCATCGGTCCCCCCTGAGAGCCAGGAGCGGCGGTGCGGGGGGGGGATGTTGTCTCTGCTTTGCAGGTGGGGAGTTAGATTAGTTTGCCAGGGCTGTCGTAACAACGCAACAGACATTTCTCTTCTCTCAGTTCTGAAGGCTGGAGGTCAAGGTCAAGGTGTCAGGCAGGGTCGCTCCTTTCTGGGGGCTGTTCCAGGCCTCTCTCCCAGCTCCCAGTGGCTTGCAGGCAACCTTTGGGGGGCCTCAGCTTGTGGAAGCATTGCCCGGCATTTCCCCTGTGCGCAGGCCTGTGTCCAAACCTTAGGAACACCGGTCATATTGGAGCAGGGGCCCAACTGGAGGTTAGGACTTCAGTAGATAAACTGGGGGGACAGAAGCACAATTGAACCCACAACAGGTATTAACCTTCTAGGACAGCAGTTCTCAACCTGTGGGTCGCCAACCTGTGGGGGTCGAACGGCCCTTTCACAGGGGTCGCCTAAGACCATCGGAAAACACCTATATAATTACATATTGTTTTTGTGATTAAACACTATGCTTTAATTATGTTCCATTTGTAACAATGAAAATACATCCTGCATATCAGATATCTACATTACAATTCATAACAGTAGCAAAATTACAGTTATGAAGTAGCAACGAAAATAATTTTATGGTTGGGGGTCACCACAACATGAGGAACTAACTGTATGAAAGGGTCGAGGCATTAGGAAGGTTGAGAACCACTGTTCTAGGAGGTCCTATCCGACACAATCTCTGTCCCTGAACTGGGACCCTGCCTCTGCCTTTCATTCCTGCATCCCCCAGCGTCCAGGCCTTAGCACAGGCAGGTCCCTCTGCCTGGCACACTCATGCTCAACCCTCTGCCCCCAGGGCAGCCCCCACCACTGACCCTCCCACAATGTTGCTTCCCCAGAACAAACTCCACTGCCCTCCCCACTGCATAGTGACACAGTGACTTGTGTGGCTGCCGGTGAGTGCCAAGGGCACAAGCAGAGGATCTGTTTTCCTCCACTGTACCCCCAGCCCAGTGTCAGTAAAAATCTGTGTGAACTCAAGGAACTATGCCCAGAGAGGAGAAGGGAATGGCCTGAAGTCACGCAGTAGGTTCGTGGCAGAGTGGGCCTAGGGCCCAGCCCCCCTGACTTTGGGTCTCATGACTTTGAGGGGGTGCATTTCCCTCCCAGCCTTCCCCTGGCCTCACCGTGAGCCTCAGCAGGGCCTGCCAGTGACAGGGGAGCCCCTCGAGACCTTGGCCGGACCGTGGCCTTGCACAACTCCAGGGGGAGCCCCTCACAGCACAGCTGTGGTTCTCACACTTTGAGAGTGCTTTCTTCCGTGTCTGGAGTCCTGCGGAGCCCAGGCTGTCACCTTCCCAAGGGACAGTGGCCTCTGTCTCTCGCCCCCTTGTAGGTGAGGAGGGCCTGAGGCCCTGGGGCCTTCCCTACTGCAGGGCCTACGACCCCCAACTCCTCTGCTGTCATGCTGAGGCTGACACATGAAGTCCTGGTCCAGAGCATGGTGGCCATGGGCTGTTGCCTGGCAACCACCTCTGAGAGACAAGTTCAAGGGAAGGGCTGGGTTTGAGCAAGTTGGATGTCTGCAGGGCGAGTCATCACCACCCTTGCTGCGCGCTCAGCCTCACAACCCCAGAGCCTCCCCTCACCCAGGAGTCCTCGCAGCTCCCATAACCCACAGATTCCAGCCCCAAACCCCATACAAGATCTTTCCTCCCGCTGCCCCCCACTTCCCCCTTTCTTCAGGGTCACCCTGTTGTACAAATCCCAAGGAGGCCAACGTCATCATGTGAAAGTTTCCCCTGGGAGCTGTGAAATGGAATTCTCCTTCCTCGTTCATCTATTCTAAATACTCACATGAAGGGCCCATGGTGCTGCCAGGCCCTGGAAACACAGATGCACCAGGAACGGTCCCTGCCTGGAGGGGCAAGGCTAGCAGGACACCCCGACACAGACATGCACATACGCGTGCACAGGCAGTGACACATGTGTAGTGGGGAGGCTCCAGGGCTGTGGGGTTAGGCATGTTGGGCAGGGGTGGGGGGTGAGGGGGGGAGAGCCCTGGCCCTGGCACCACTCCCACACAGCACTGGACCCTCACGGATACAGCTGAGATGTCCTGAGCACCTACTATGCACCTGAACTGTGCTTACATCCCCCAACCACCCCACCCCAGCCTGCTATTGATACTCCTGGCCTGCCTCCCTTTGCCATTGTAGACTGTCCCACACCCAACTCCCACGCCATTGGTCAGCCAGACTGTTCATCACAGAGTCCTACCTTCTCTCTGGCTGGGAGGATGGTCACATGACCCACACCTGGCCAATCATCACACCTGGCACTCTGTCACCTTGTCTTTGGTTATTGGCCCAAGAGGCCACCATGTGCCCTAGTTGGGACCAATCAGCTTCCTTCCATGAGATTTGAGATTTGGATAGAGGAAGAAAGCATAACTGCTGCTTTTGCATCAAGATCTGTAAGATGACAGGCTGAGGCTTGTCAGGGGCATCTTCCACGTCCCCTGGAGGCCTGGGCACACAGAGCTGAGAGATAGATTCAGGGAGGATCCTGATAGAGATGGACGCCCATACACACACACACACCCACACACACCCACCTACCCACCCACACACACACACACACGCACACCAATCTAGACACACAGCACCTGGCAAAGGAATCGACCCCGGTCATGGCTGTTGTCATGTGTCACCATCTTTATTGACGAGAGCTAGGGGCAGAAGCAGCAAAGAATTTCTCTAAGGGGCCTCCCAGCCACCCTTGCAGAACAGGCTTCCCTCCCTGCCCCAGGAATCAGGAAGGTGGGGCGGCCTCTGCACTTGGACCCCCGGGCCCCCTAAGGGGGCAAAACACTCCTCCAGGCCCCGTCTCCCTGAGCCTCTGACCCCCAAGTCCACCTTCGTCATGTCCTCACCCCCAAGGGCCAGATACAGAGAGGTGAGGGAGAAGGGGTCACCCCCCCCCTTACAGTGTGTGTGGCAGTTTACCTGGTGTGACTTATTGTCCTCCCCAAACCCAAGGAGGCAGGCAAGCTGGGACAGCCACCTCCATCTTATGACGGGGAAACTGAGGCCCGGAGAGGTCGCGGCTGGCCAGGATCTGAGGTGAGTTGAAGATGTGGGTCCCCCAAGTTGTGGTCCGTGTGCTTTCCCTGAGGGCCCCTTGCCTCTGCAGGTGGAGGGTTTGGGGGATTTAGCCAGAGGTACCACCCTCCCCGGGGCCGGTCTCACTGTGGCTCTCAGGGGTCACCTGAGGGAGGGAGTCCAGGCCGGTCCAGGCCAGCCTTGGGCAGTGGTCTCTCCCTGTCGTCTCACCTTTGTTGTTGTGGTCAATCCTCACCCGAGGATATTTTTCCATTGATTTTTAGAGAGAGTGGAAGGGAGGGGTGAGACGGAGAGAGAGAAACAGCAACATGAGAGAGACACATCGACTGGTTGCCTCCCGCATGTGCCCTGACCAGGGCCGGGATGGAGGTATGTGCCCTTGACTGGAATCGAACCCAGGACCCTTCCGTCCACGAGCCGACACTCTATCCACTGAGCCAAACCAGGGAGGGCCCTGTGGTCCCACATTTTTGTCTTGTCTTCCCTGGGCCTTTCCAGCCTGCAGCCCGGGGAATTCAGAGGGCGAGAGGCCTGCTCCGGTCTACCAGCCCCTCTTCCCAGCACTGAGCGGCCTCAAGGGGCTGGCCCTGTGCCTTTCAGAGCATTTGCTCTCCCACCTGATGGCATCGTTTTCTTGGGACTGTTGGGCCAGGCAACTCAGTTTCACTGATGCAGCAACTGAGCTCAGTCCAGAGGGGCCAAGGACAGCTCCAAGGTCATGGAACAGATCTATCCTCCACCCGCATCCTCCTTCCCTCCTCCTCCTCCCTCCTGCCCTCCCCTCCTCCTCTTCCTCCTCCTCCTCTCAGCACTGACTGTCTTACCCTCTGCCCTTCCGTGCCGGTCTCCTGGTCGCGTCCCTGCCTCGGTCAGTGAGGGTGGAAGCACAGGAATGCTTCCCCTGTGAGCTCTCACAGACCCAGAGACACCCCACACCCCCGTCCAGGCTCCGAACACAAAGTGAGCTGCTTTGGGGATTCGTGGGCTGCCCTCAGCAGGGCCCGAGCTAGGCTTTGGGTGGCCTAAGCTTATGCATGTGGGGTCCCTCTTTAAGAAAAGCGATACAAAATTCCAAGTACAAAATTAGGCTCAGGGACTCAGAGGGCCCAAGCAGCAAGGGACCCTGCAGCTGGACTTAATGAGCTTCTTGGAAAATCCGCTTCTTCTCAAGTCCAGGATCACAGGAGTCTTGGCCCGACCGTCTGGCAAGAGGGCCTGGAGGTCACTGGGTTGCTCAGCAGGTGAGGCCTGCAGCCCAGAGAGAAGAGCTGCCTCAAGGCCTTGCAGCAACAGGGGAGAGCTGGTGCCTGAGCAGCCTCACACCTGCCCCCCACAGGGCAAGATTTTCTTCTATTGGGGGGTTGGGGGGGTGCTGGTCCAGCTCCCTGTGAACCTGGGCCCCAGCCCCTCTCCTATGAACTGACTCTGAGCCAGGAAATCAGGCTTGGATTATCCTCTGAGGACCAGACTCAGGCAACCCACTGCATGCTCTGTCTTCAGGGGACGGCAGTCTACAGCCGTTCCCCTTAAACCTGGGCCCCCCCTCAGGAGGGTCAGCCCAGCGGTCATGTCCCTCCAGCCTTCTCATCCGGCAGCGCTTGTCTAGACCGATGACTCCCATCCCTGAGTCACAGAGGAGAACACGAGGCCCAGAGAGGGCAAGTGACCTGTCGGAGGTCACACAGCGAGTCTCAGCAGCAGTGGGATCTGAACAGCCCATCACGGGCCCCTGGCACCTGGGGTGGCGCACCCACGGCCTGTGCTCTGTGCTTGGGCCGCTCTGGCCCTCCACCGGCCCTACAGACAGCTGATGTGCAGGGCGCCCGGCCTCTCCCCCGCGGAAGGCTCCTGGGGCAGGGACTGCTGCTCCTTGCCGGGCACACAGCTGGGAGGCAGCGTCTGCCTGCTGGTGCCAGGCTGTGTGATCTGGCTGACCCGGCCATTCATCTCCTTCGCTTCCCCCTGCTTCCCGGCCCCCTTCTCCCCACCCTCCTCTCCATCCTCGTCCTCCTCCTCCTCCTCCTCCTCTGTCTTCTCCGGAGGTCCGGCTGGGGGCTCCTGGCTTCGCACCCGGCGGGAAGGCCGAAGCAGGACCCGGCGGAAGCCCTGCTTGAAGCGGTAGGAGAGGAAGCCATAGAGGATGGGGTTGGCGCAGCTGTTGGCATAGGGCAGCGCCACCACCAGGAAGTAGAGGCCGAAGAAGGCGGGCTCCTCGGGCAGCGGGCACACCACGTTGATGATATTGAGCACGTAGAAGGGCATCCAGCAGAGGACGAAGAGCGCCACCACGGCCACCACCATGCGCGTGACCCTGCGCTCGGAGCGCCGCCGCCGCTGGCACGAGGGCGCCCACACCCGCCGTCCCGCCGAGCGCATCTTGACCACGATGAGCAGGTAGCAGAGGCAGATGACCAGGAGGGGCCCGAAGAAGCCCAGCGCGGCCGTGTAGATGATGAAGCCGGCGCGCCAGGCCGCCGCGGGCTCGGGCCACTGCATGTGGCAGGTGCTCATGCCCCGGGGCACGCCCGAGAAGACCACCACGGGCAGCACCACCACGGCCGAGGCCACCCAGACGGCCGCGCTGACGGCGCGCGCCACGGGGGCGGTGCGCCAGCGGGCCGAGCGGGTGGGGTGCACCACCGCCAGGTAGCGGTCCACGCTCATGACCGTGAGGCAGAAGATGCTGGTGAACTGGTTGATGCCGTCCACGGCCATGACCAGGCGGCACATGAGGGAGCCGAAGGGCCAGTAGGACAGGGCGTTCTGGGCGGCCAGGAAGGGCAGCCCCAGCATGAAGAGCTCGTCGGCCAGCGCCAGGTTGAGGATGTAGACGTTGGTGACCGACGGGCTGGCCGTGTGCCGCAGGACCACGTAGATGACCAGGGAGTTGCCCAGCAGGCCTACCACGCACACCACCAGGTAGACCAGTGGGATGAGGACGCCCCTGACGGCCAGGCCGGCCGCGCTCGGGGCCACGGACACGTTTCCCAGGGTGGCGTCCAGGAGCCAGGCCGAGGCGTTGTCAGGTTCCGAGGTGGCGGGCACCGGTGAAGGATAGCCAAGGGGGTCCATGGCTGAGGGAGGGCGGTCAGCAGTCCGCTATCGGCCTGGAGGAGGGAGGACACAGCCAGGTCATGGCGGAAGATGGCTTCCTCCCAGCTGCCCCTCCCTCCTCACACTGAACTTGTGCTCGGCCAGAGTGACACACACCAGCTCATCAGTGCACAGGCCAGCAAGGTATCCCCACTTCTCAGAGGAGGAGACTGAGTCTCAGAGAGGGAGAGTGACCTCCCTGCACCACCGTAGCTGTGGTGAGGGGCGCCAGCTTGCCTGGCTCTAAAGGGCAGGGACCAGCGCTGGCCTGTGTCCCCTCGCCTGTGCACAGGGCGAGTGCTACACAAATGTCCAATAAGGAATCAATGGATCATTCAATCAGCCGATGACAACATAGGCCCTTTCCTTTACACCGGTGCTTTCCAAATATTTTCGATGCCGGTACATTTTACATAGCAACCAATGAAGTCATATTGTTTCATAAAGCAACTCCTGCCCTTTCTACATAAGATGGTCCCAGTCCGCGGAGCCCCGTGTGGATCACCTGCTGCTATAGACAATGTGTCTCCCACCAAAGCAATAAATCCTAACCCCCAGTGTGATGGTGTTGGGAGTCGATTATGTCATGAGGGTGGAGCCCTCTTGAAGGGGATTAGTGCCCTTATGAGGCTCCCTTTCCCTTTCCCCTTCCGCCAGGTGAGGACACAGCAAAAAGATGGCCATCTATGAACCAGGAAGCAGGCCCTCACCAGACACCAAATCTGCCAGCACCCTGATCTTGGACTTCCAGCCTCTGAAACTGTGAGAAGTAAATTTTGGTTGTTTATATGTCTGTCCCCCAATCTATGGTAGTCTGTTGTAGGAGCCCAAATGGACTGGGACACCCACCAACAGGTCTCAGCCCTCACATTTGAAAACACTGCTGCATGTCATGGTTCCTTAACCTTGAACTTGGGTCTCCAGATGAACTTCAGAGCATCCGTGAACCCCGAAAACTCTGAATGCCCAGAGCTTTCGTCAGATTAAGAACCACAGGCTCAGGAGTCAGAGCCCTTGGGGACCTTCTCTGCCTGCCCCAGCCCACGTGCAAAGACCCTGCCCAGGATGACTGGCTGTGAACCTGGGGAGGGGGGCTCTCTGGGGCCCCTTCTCCCCCAGAGGGAGACTTGTAGAAAAATTCAAAACACACTAGAGCAGCGGTTGCCAACCCACTCTCACTCAGCTGCCTCCCCCAGCCCTGGCAAGCCAGGCCTCCCTGAGACAAGGGCATTTCAGGATGGGTTTTGAAGCATCAGTAGGAGCACATCCCCCAGTATGGTGGGAACCAGCATTCCCACGTACTGTGTTAGCGCCCTTCTTGTCACACCTCCCATGCGTGATGAGGAGCTGGAACTCCTCCTGGCTCCCCTGCTGGACTCGACTCTCCCTGCTCCTCCAAGCCCGGGAGAGACCCCAGCCTGTCCTCATCGCCCCAGGCCCTCATCAGCTCCCCTGGGCCTGGGACCGCATCTCTAAGGGAGGGGCTCTGGGCAGTGGCTCATGGGGTCCTAGCAGTGTGGCCAGCTCCTTGTCACTGAGCCCGACTGCCAGGTTCCCGGCTAAGCGGGTGAGGTGCTACATCCCATGGTAGGCATTGTGTCTGCCATTCCCAACATGCAGACCGGGAGCAAAGTGGGTCCACACACTCTGGTCACAGAGCTGTGAAGGGGCAGAGCTGGGAGGACCCACTTCACAGGCTGGCAGACTGAGGCCAGGCCCGGGGAAGGCACTTGCCTGGTGCCACAGTGGGTCAGGCCGCCCAGCTGGCTTCCAGCTCTCCCACCGGCCTGTTCAGAGCTCTCTCGGCTCCTCAGGACCTGGAACTAGTAGGACCATAGACCCAAATCCCTAGACTCTTGGAGGCCTAGAAATAGAATTGTAGATTCTTAGAACTGAGTTGTGGTCATGGGCTTTTAGATCCGTGGCCTTGAATCAGGGAATGTTAGCGTTCCAAGTACCCGAGCCAGCCCTCCTGAGACCCGGGACCGTGGAATCTGGGACCTGAGCCCTGGCCTCCTCCGGGAGCCTTGCGTCCCCCACCCATCCCCCTTGCCTCCCTGTCGCAGATCCTCGTTACAGCCTCCCCGCCAGGCGGCCAGTCCAGCCCAGCGATGGAAGAGGGAGGGGTGCTGGGCTCCCAGGAGAGGAGCAGTGAGCCGGGCAGACCTGATTGCCAGGCTGCAGCGACAGATGCCCCCAGGGAGGCCTGGGGGTGAGCTCTGAGGACAGCCTCCCTCTCGCCGGTCACACACGTGTGCACCCACCCACACAGCACACGTGCTAACGCACAGGGTCCTGGCAGGATATAGGGGACCCACTAGGCCCAGCTCCTCCCAGAGCCCCGGCCCCCTCACGAGATGCTCTGCCTCCACCTTAATCTGGACCCACCTCCCCTGGCCAAGTTCAAGGGGCCAGGGCGCCAAAAGCAGGGAAAGAACAGCTTTCCGGGGGCGTCAGCCAGACCTGCAATTTAGGTGCCGCCTTTTCTTTAAGGAGCCGGAATCCTGTGCATGATCCAGTCCATCCCGGGAGGAGGCTCTTCCCTGTCTGGCTTATCTTGGCACCGTTTGCCTGAAAGCTAGGGGTGGACCCCTCAGAGGACTGTTCAGGGGGACGGAAGCCCAGAGAGGGCGGGTGGCGGCCCTGAGCCCCACACAATTCAGGACGGCGGGATTCCAGACGCCCCATCAGTTCGGCATTTGTCTGTCCCCACCCCCCGCCCCTCTAGGGTGCTGGCTCTTGGGTGCAGGGACCCTGCGCACCTAGCACAGCACCCAGAACATCAGAAGACAGGACTAGACCAAGACGCCCGGCGAGTGGAGCTCTGAGCGAGGTGGGGCCTTGCTCCTGGGCAGACGCCTCAGACTCACATTATGAAACCCTCCCAGGGCCCGCGGGGGCGGGTGTTCAGAGAAGAGGAAGTTGAGGCTCAGAGAGGTTCAGCAAGTTGCACAAGGTCACTCAGCTGGTGAGCGGGAGGTCAGAATTCAAACTCAGTTCTGTCTGCTCAGAAACCATCAGCACCCCCTGGCCCTGGTGGCCTCGGGCTTAAAGGAAGCAGGGACTGGGCCAGACCCGACCATGCAGGCTGCTGGCCCCTGGCCAGCTGTGTTCTGTTTGCCCTCTGCTGCCCCGGGCCTTCCCCCAGGAGGCCCCGGGTCACTGCCCACTGAACACTCCCACCCCAGGCCTGGCATCTGACCCCAGGAACCCGCCCCACATGCCCGAGTTGTGTGACCTTGGGCAAGTCACTTCCTTCCTCTGGGCCTCAGTTTCCTCCTGTTAAATGAAGACAAGCGTACCCACCTCCCGGGGTGGCTGCGATTACACGGGAGCGTGCAGAGCACGGCGCCCGGCACAGACAGGGGGCTCAGGAAAGCCGGCGCGTGAGCGGAGGAGGCCACGCAGCACGATGCATCTGGCTGCTTCCAGCTCCGACAAGGCCCTGCAGTGATTCCCAGATCCGAGAGCTGTGGTGCAAAATTCCAAGATGAATGGCCCCCCACCCCCACAGCCCACCCAGAGGCCACAGGAAAGCCCCTTTGCCCCCTGGGCCTCCCCACCCTTTCCAGCCGCCAGCACCCTGGGCAGAGGGGGAGCTCCAGGACCCCACCCTGCGGGACCCCCCCTCCCCCCGCCCAGCCCCAGCCTCCTTACCTGTCCGTGGGGTGAGGGATCCCCTCCTTGCTGCCAAGCTGGTTATCATTCTGTTGTCCCTTCTCCCTGCACAGTCCCCAGCTGCCCCCAGAGCACCCCTTAGCCGGGGTCCCCGCACAGTGCCCCCTTCCAGACTGCTTGCGGCCCGGGCCCCCTCCTAGGCCCGCGGTGGCCACGTCTGCCCACAGAGCCTCTTCCATCTGGTCTCCAGCCCTGACTTCCCACTGGTGCGTGGTGCGTCCCCCCTCATCTCCGGGACATGTCCTGGAGGGCAGGGACGCAGATGGGGTCTGCCAGCAGGAGCCTGGGGTGGGGATGGAGGGAGAAGCCTCCCAAGGAAAGAAGAGAAATGGGGAGCAGGGGACGATAGGAGCCAAGAGAGATAGAGGGAAGGGGGGCCGGTCGGAGGTGGAGAGAGAGGGAGAGAGAGAGAGGACAGTGAGTGGGTGGAAAGCCAGAATGAGGGGGAGTGATGAGAAATGCGTGACAGGGAGAATAAAAGGAGGAGGAAAGAGAGCGAGAGAAGGGAAGAGAGGGAGAGATGCGGAGAGAGGCAGGGATAGAGAGCGGGGAAGGAGGAAGGGGAAGGAGGGGGTGGCAGAGAGAGTGACAGAGAAGGATTGTGCCACAGATGGTGACATGGAGAGCCAGGGAAGGAGGGAGCAGGAGTGGGGGTGTGGGAGGGGCTGGGGGAGGGGCCCAGGGGCCAGAGAGCAGGTGCAGGGTGAGGGAGGAGGGACGGCAGGTTAGGGGAGGAGGCTGGCAGGAGGGGGAGGCCTGTTACCGGGGAGATTTCAGCCACCCACGCTGGCCTTGGCTCCTGCAGGGTGTGGAGAGAAGAGGGTGGTACTCAGGGAAGCTGGGGGCTGAGAGCCAGGGGCCAGGGGGCCCCTACCCCAGGCCACCATGGCACATGTCCCCTAGGGTGACGCTGGGTCCCGAGGCCAGGTGGGTGTGGCAGTGCCACCAGGAGGGCTGACAGCGTGGGGTGAGCATTGCAATGGGAGTCCTGTTCCCGGCCACAGGCTGGACACGGGACACGGAGGAAGGCCAGGCGGGGGTCGTCAGTCCCGAGCCTGGCTGAGTCTGGAGGGCCCGGGCAGGGCGGGGCGTGGGAGGACAGGGGCCAGAATAAATGCTGCAGGCTCTGGGGCCCAGGAGGCAACTCAAAGCTGCGGAAAACAAATGTCCACTCTTCGTACATTGACAAAACTCAAAATCTAATAGTAATGATTAAGGATGATGATTTGTGATGCAGGTCTACTGCTGAGAAGAGCAGAATTCTTTGGGGGGAAATAATATTTGGCTTAATTGAAATTCAAAGGTAGTCTTTCCCATCATCAAATCGGTTGGCAGTGGTCACTGTGAAATCTATTCTTAGCTGGCAGGCGACGCAGCAGCAGGCGGGGGCGGACTTGGCCCCTGGCTCTCAGGTGCTCTGCCCGGGGCCTGCGCACAGGCCTGGCTGCCCCAGGACACCGTGCCCAGCTTGTGCAGACTTGCCAGGGACCATGAGTGAGTCGTCCCGTCTCCAGGCCTCAGTTTCCTCATTGGGATCGCGGGGAGGTGAGACTAGATCAGTCCTAAGATCCTCTTTCAACGTGAGCATCACAAACGCTAAGGGTCTGTTAGTAATGACGGCAATTTTTATCAGTCGTGGGCTGCTTCAGGCCCGTTATCCTGATTCTCGCCACCACACCCGCCACGGCCAGCAGCATCAGTGCATCCGTTTACAGGTAAGGAGGCTGGGCTCAGAGAGGGGAAGCCGTCTACTCAGGTCACACAGGAGAAGCCAAAGCCTCGCACCAAAGGTGTGCTCTCGAGCACCTTGCCACTGAGCAGCCTGACCCCTTCTCAGGAGGGCAAGGGGGTAACAGGAGGAAGGCTGTTGAATACCTACTGTGTGCCAGGCACTGTCTGGGCCCCATTCCTTAAGGACAGAGCTGGACCTACTTGATTGTAAGGCTGGTGTGTAGTAGGCCCTCAGAGAGCCAGGAATCTGGTTCTTCCAGGGGTGCCATCCTGGCTGCTGCAGCACACAGTAGGACCAGGGACAGACCTTCCTGCAGTCCTCACTCTTCTGCCCAGACAAGTTGGTGAGGAGTAAGTGGGCTCTGAGGCAGCTCTGGCAGTTCCATGGCACTGCCCCTCCCCTGCCCAAGGCCTCCGTGGCTTCTCATCGCCCACCAGGCTTTATACTACCCCAATCTTGCAGCCTTTCCCGCCCCCTCTTCTGCTCTGCTGATTCCTCCCCCCCAGCCTGAGCTCCAGGCACCTCCAGCCTCATTCATTCATTTATGAAGTCTGCCAGTCTCTCATTCATTCATTAGACAGGAGAGCTCAGAAGGCCTCTGCAGAGGTGAGAGAGACTAAGCAAATGTCCAGGGAAGAGCCTTCAGGCAGAGGGAAGGGCAAGGTCTCCGAGCTGTGGGGGGACACTCACCCCACCCCTTGTGTGAGGTGAAGGAAGTCCTACTGCAGGTGGCCTCCTCCAAGAGCCTTCCAGGCCCTGGGTTAGCCAGGCCCCGCCCCCAGACAGCCCAGAACCACACCCCCGGCTTCCCAGAGCCACGCCCCCAGACTTCCCAGAGCCACGCCCCCTCCACGAGCCTCTAATCTGAGCTCAAGACTCAGCTGTGGGGGCTGTGCTCTCCGTGCAGGGCTGTGAGCTCGGAAGGGAAGACTGTGAGGTCCGCACTGTGTCCCCAGGCCTGGCACTGGCCTGGCCAGTAGGCATGTGCTGCCTGTTTAAGGAGGACAAGAGGATAGCTAGCTGGCGAGGGGGAGTGGGCAGGGTGGCAGGAGGAGGGAGACTGTGCTGAGCGGCTGCTGGAGGCCGGAGAGTGGTGAGGAGTCGCGAGCACCCAGCTGGGGACAGGTGGGACCTGAGTCAAACACCCACTCCCACCCACGGCCTGGCCTTCGCAGCAGAAATGACCCTGACCAGCCCTCCCCCTGGGACGGGAGGGACAGAAGGAGGAAGGGCAGCTCTATACCTGTGAGCTCTGGGGAGCGGGCGCCGCTGGGTGTCTGGGAGACATGGGGTGGCCCTGCCCTGCCTGGCATTGAGGTCCTGGAGTGTGAGGCCTGGACCTGTCACCTCATGTCCCTGGTAACCTGGAGGGGCTGTCTGGCCTGCCTCCCCAAGATAGGACGATGCTGTATGTGTCTTTTCATCACACCTGGGCCCTCTCAAGCTAGGGCCACGTCTCTCCCCTCAGACTGGAGGGCTCCCCCACGTCCAACAAGTGTGCCTCCACCCTCAGACAGGTGGTTTCCCAGGAGCTGGGGCCCAGGCTCCTCCCACCCTGAGAGCCAGGGCAGAACCTGCTCCTCCCCACTTCCTCCCCAACACAGAGCCTAGATCAGAGCCAACCACAGAGCAGGGCGGGGCCTCAGCTGCAGATGCTGGGTCTGTCCTCTCCAATAAGACAAGTTGAGCCCAAACGCCTTCCCAGCCCACCCCCTGGGGCTTTGTCACTGGAGTCCCCACTAAGGTGTCCCCGGGGGTTCATCAGGTCCTGCTGGGGTTGAATCTCAGCTTCATCATTTCCTAGCTGTGTGATCTTGGATCTGTGACTTAACCCCTCTCTGAGCCTCAGTCCCTCATCTTCAAAGCTACTGCAGAGGGTGCTTCAAGGATGGAATCACTCAACCCCCTTCTACAGCCGCCGTTTCTTTCACACTCGGAGCAGCAGGCTTACCAGGCACGTTCTCTTGTCAGCACAAGAGCAAGCTCAAGGGCAAAACACACTCAGGTCTCTCCTAGTGATGCGTATGCTAACCACCCATTGGCCAAAAGCAAGTCACCTGGGCCAGGTTGCATCAGTGGAGTGGGAATTACACTCATGGCCTGGAGGGAGGGGCGGAGGATGGGAGTGAGATTACCTGCTAAGCACCATCAAATCTACCTCCCCCCTCCCCCCCCCAGGAAGCAGCCTGGGGTCTCACCCCCACATGCCCGTAGCCAGTAGCCAGTGGCCTTGGGTCCGGAAGTCTCTGGCTGGAATCTCCCCGCCCGGCTTTAGAGAAGGATGGTCGCCTGGCTGCACAGTGCAGAGGGGAAGCCCTGGAGTCCACCGGCTCCTGAAACAGACTTCGCCATCTGTGGTGTCTGGGCCCCTTCTTGGGAGCCTCCTGGGGTTCTGCCAGGGCAGTTGGTTTGCATCTCTTCAGGCTCCGCCCCTCCTCCCGCCCAGCCCCGCCCCCAGGGAACAGCGGGCAGTTAGGCTTGCCTGTCCGGGCTGTTAAATCATTTACCACCTTCCACCTGCTCTCCTGCCTGTGCTGTGGTTTGGGGTCACAGGTGTCTCCTGCTTCCTTTGAAGATGAGAGTTTGTGTTTCTGTTTTGTGTTCTCCTTGTTGTCGTGGCTGCTCTTCAGCCAAGTGCAGGAAGCAAAAATCTCTCTCCCCTGGCACCTGACACCAGAGTCTTCCTTTCGGTATAGAGGGCGCTGCTGTGGTACGTGAACCCAACCACAGGCCGGGTGTTGATTTACACGTCCGTCCCTCCCACTGGCCTCGGAGCCCCCGGGGAGCAGAAGGCTGGGTCTCACCCTGCTCTTCACTTTCACCCTGCTCTTCACTTTCAGCTCCTGCCCCAGAGCACACGGTTAGTACATGGGCCTGAGTTGACTTGAGCTTCCGGTTATACAGATCCCTGCTCATCGTCCCACCTTCCTCGAGGCCTTCAGACGTCTTCTAGAATCATCCTAGACCTTTGCCTCCCTCCCCAGAGCCCAGCCTGTCCTACTTCCCATAGCCCACAAGGCCTGGATGCAGTCAGGTGACCCTAGAGGCGTGGAAGGATAGGGTAAAGACATACATAGCATTTATTGTGTGATGGGAGAGTTAAGAGGGAGGGAGGAGAGGTAAACAATGAAAGGAAAAGACAGCAGGGACAATTTTTCTCAATCTGTTGAGATTTTGCTTCCAGGCATATCTTATTTTTGGCTCAAATAAATTTTTATAAAAAAAAATTTTTTTTAAAAAGATAGCAGGGACTTGGGCTCTGAAAAGTCGGTAAAAATTGTTGTTGAAAAAAATGAAAATTGGCCCTGGCCCATGTGGTCCAGTTGGTTGGGCATCGACCTGTGCACCGAAGGGTTGCCAATCTGGGCACGTGACTGTGTTGTAGGCTTGATCCCCAGTAGGAGGCATGCAGGAGGCAGCTGATTGATGTTTCACTCTCACATCAATGTTTCTCTCTCTCTCCTTCTCCCTTCCCCTCTCAAAATCAATAAAAATACTTTTTAAAGGTTGAAAATTGTTTCAGTATACCATTTTAT